TGCTTGGAATCTTCTTGTTATGCTTCAATAAGTTTTACTTTTTACTTTTCTTCTTTTTCTTCTTCCCTTCAGCAGATGAGCATGACATACTACTTTGATCCATTTCTGCTGCCATCTTTTTTATTTCCTTGAAAATTGATAACAGTTGCATAAGTGTTTGTATATTTTGAATTTTAAATCACTTCATGTATTATAACATGCATTGAATGTATTAAAACTTGTTTATAGAGTGTTTGAATTATTCAGTCATGTAATTTAGGGCTTGTGGCCTGGGAAGGTATCTCATGTTTCAATAGCTCACCCAGTATCCTGTCTAGGGGATACCAGGTGCTCTATCCTGGAATAAAGTGACCAGTGTGGAACAGACTCCTTGCCTGCAGGTAATGACGAGTTTAAGAATGTGTGAAGCTTTACCTGCACCTCCCCCATATGCCTTCGGGGTGTGGTGCTTAGCCACAGAGAAAACTTCACATCTGTTTTACCTTTTACAAATGCTGCAATTACAAGATCTGCTTATTTTGCATTTTGTGTCGTGTAACGCCATTAATATTACCTGCTGCATTCAGTGCATTACAGCTTTGCATATTGACAGTGTTTAAATGAGCCAGTCTCATAATATTATTCTAGAGTAAATTTAAATTATGTGGTATAAGGAAGACTCAGCTGTGGTGATTATTGAGGGATTTCAGTACACTTAATAGAATAAACCACAGCTTAAAAACTAAATTTAAATGTCCTGACTGAAGTTTTATGGTTTTCTTCAGTCTCTCCATGTAAATGCCAGGTTATACCTTGAAATGGTATATGATGCCTTCTTCCAAAGTTTTAACTATCCACCATTCATTATCATCTTCGTTGTTTCATTTAACATTATTTGCAGTTTAAAAAGCATCATTACATTTTTTATAAAGGTACTTCCTAATGCATAATGTCAGGTTACTTTGTTTATATACCTTGGCATGCTCATTCAGTGTTTCTTCCAGCATTGTCTTCAATGTTGAGATCTTATTGTCTTGTTTATCTTGTCTTATGTTTACCCTTTCAAATAATTGGACATACTCATCCTTATCTTCACGTACTGATGCCTTCAGGTCAACCAACTGCCCCATCACCCAAAAGAAAGCACATACTGTTTAGTCAGTATAGTTAAACCTTTGAACAAACTGATACATTTGATCCTAATAAAGTTTCCTGGTAATTTTGCCTACTCTTTGGAGTCACTGAATTGTCTCTTGTTTGGTGAGAAGAGGATATATTATGAGTGTTGGGAACAAAGTGTCAAGTAAAATACCTGTATCTGTGAGAGATAAAGTAAGTGGGAAGTAGAAGATATACAAAGTAAGGTGCATCACAATTTATGTACCTCACCCAGTTCTAGTGTAGTCAAATCAATGTGGTTACAATGTGTCTCTCATGTACTTCCCACAAAAGGCCACAAAATTATACTTAAATATTGCTGGAGCAACCTCTGGGGCAGAGCTAGATGTTACTGTGAGGGATACAGAAATGAGTGAAGAAGAAAAGTGCTTTGAAGCTTAATAAAATGACAGATGATATCAACGAAAGCACAGAGAAGTATGAGAAAAAGAAGAGTGAGGGGTATGCTGCAAAGAGAGGAGAAGAAATGGCATAAGAGAAGAGTGAGTGGGTAAAAATTAGAAAGAAGAAGAAGAAAATATGGACTGGAAGAAACAAGAGGACAGTGTGATATACAGGGTGAGTCAAAAGTATGTTTACAAACTTTGCGTGCGTGTTCCTGGATCACAAGTAAGAAAAAAATTTCTAATGGACATGTGGTCACAAATGCTTCTTTTTTTAAAATAATAGCCAAAAATAATATTCAGTGTATGCCTTTATTGCCAAGTATAAGGACAGGGATATTTCTTTATAACAGATGTTCAAAGGTTGCTCCTCCATTCTCCACACATGCCCGAGCATGACGTACGCAAGACTGACGTATTCGTTTGTACACACCAGTGTTTCCTTGAGTCATCTGACATGCTTTCTGCACACATTCCCGTAGGTCATCATCATTGTTTATGGACTTCAAGTGACCCCACAGATAAAAGTCCAATGGAGTCAGGTCCAGTGATCTTGGTGGCCATGCTACTGGGCCACCACGCCCAATCCATCGCTGAGGGAACTGTTCATTGAGATGATATCTGACGTGACAGGAGAAATGTGCTGGGGCTCCATTCTGCATAAACTACATTTGTCTTCATGTATTCAGTGGTACATCTTCAAGGAGACATGGCAAGTGTCTTCTTAAGAATCGCTGATATGAAGGTCCTCTTAGACTTGATGGAAGCATGTGTGGACCAATAAGCATGTCGCCAATAGTTCCTGCCAAACGTTCATTGAAAGTCTTTGCTAGAAGATGGATTTACTTTAACGTCAAGTCATTCATTAAATTTATTTTTGGCTATTATTTCTAAAATGAAACATTTGCGACCCCATGTTCATAGGAACATTTTTCCTCATTTTTGATCGTGGAACAAGCACACAAAGTTTGTAAACATACTTCTGACTCACTCTGTATATTGTTACTCAACAGATACTGTCAGCAAGCACTTAAAATTTAGAGCCTGTACAAGTCATTATGTGAAATTCACTTCTCGTTGTGGCGTACCTGTTGATGATGATCTGAGATGTCAGCTTGCTGCTGCTTAAGGAGTTGACTGTAATCATCCTTAACGCAATCTTTGGAACCCCACTCTTGCTTGTCATGGAGAGCATCCTGCAAATAATTAGTATCGTAAACCAACTGATAAAGTACTGAAGATGGAGGCAGCATGTTCCTCTAATATGCTGGTATCTACCAGCATGTCAACATGGTGTTGCTACCGAGAACACATATTAAATTAATCTCATGGTTGTGAAGATGCTGAGTGTGGTCTTTTTGGTCATAGTGCATGTGGTTTTGCAAGCAGTTGCCAACATTTTAGATTCAACTGAATTATAAAGGAATGTTCTATCACCTGAACATCTGAACACATGGGTGAACATTATTCAGAAACTGAACTATGATTTTAATACCATATGAATGAACTAAGCATTTTCTTCTCATAACAGCTGATCTGTTCGGATATACAATCTGCAAAACTCATTTCATCCCTTACTGTACACACTTACAAAAACAAAAACAACAAAACACAAATGATGAGGAGTCTGTGTTCCTTTAGCTGTAGATATTTACTTTACAAATTACAAAGACGATTTTTTCTTTGCAATTTTCAGTGTGGTTTCATGTTTTGTAAACTATTGAGGAAGTCAAATGTAAAGTTCTTATTGATGATTGTGTAACAATGAAGTGACTGCAAAGAAATTATTTCCATTTTTGGAGATCACAACACTTCTGCTGAGAAATTTGGCATGCATACCTAGCAACAGATATGCACTTAAATGAAACCATTAATTAACCACTAGTGGAATTTGCCATTAACAGTAACAGTTTTATCATCAAACCCAAGAAAATACTGTAATCACACTCGTTAGCATACTTTCCTTTTGAATTAAAGGTGAGGTTATGGCATTACATGACCCCTACAAAGAGTCTGATGAATTTTGTTGCAAGACAGAGCAAATATCATATTGTTGAGGGCTACTCTATATTCACAGTTGTTAATCGAGTGCCAGAACAGCCCAATCAGCATAGTGACTGACTGTACACTTAACAATTCATGCCAGGGATAGAAATCTGTATTTTTGTTACTGTGTGCAGACCTTTTGTGAGGCCAACCCAGCATCATATCCAATAGGATGTGGGACTTCCCCCTTCCCCAGGTAAAGCAGCTGGAGCATGAAACTGACCACACCTCCAACAGGTGTAAAGGTTAATGTGAGGTATTTAATTAAGCACAGGTACAACTTTTCCATTTATAAACCTTTGGAATATCAGTGTACTACAAAGGTACATCTTTCCAATCTTGTTATTTCCGTGATAGCATATAATCTCTGTTGTCTCTCCATTAATACTTAGATTCAACTGCTGAGACAGTGAGGTACGTTTCTTTGTTAATCTCATATTCCAAACAAACTGTGGACTACAACGGCCATAGCTTTTAAATGAGATTTATTGTGTGTAAACACGGAGTTTTTCTCTTGGGACTTCCCCGGTTTCTCCGTGGCATCCCAACAATTACTCCATTCACACACAGAAGAAGGCAATGGCAAACCACTTCTGGATCATCTGCCAAGAACGTATATGAACAGGTCCCAGTCTGAGAAAAGGATGGAAGGATCCTGTTCATATGGACCTGTCCTAAGACAGAACACTAAATAAATAAATAAATAACACTGAAGTGAACAGATTAATGCTGTTACCTTCTGATGTCTCATCATGCTGTCTTCATCCTGATCATTCTTCAGTTCCGCAGTGATGGGCTGCAGTTCCTCAATGATGGGCTGCAGTTCCTGGGACAGGCTTATATTCTCAAGCTCATTAGAGTTTAGACCTGCAACATTTTTGCACGTGTAACAATATTTTTATGAACAAAGAGGTGTAGGATTGTTCGTTCAGCATTGCCATACATCAGTGGAGTGTGGTCCATCATGAAGTCAAAAGATAAAGAAGAAAGTGAAGAAAGGTAATATGACTGAGAAAAAGAAAGAAAATCAACTGAAGAAAAGATGACAGAAATCAAAATTGAGGAAGAGAGAATGAGTATAAGAGGAAAGAAAGACAAAGAAAGAGACAAGAATTATAGCATGATTTGTGTTTTGTTTAATGATACTGTCAGTAATGCAGACTATATAGCATGAAATGATAGGATGATCAGGGATTTGAAAAAGATCTCGAAGCATGTGATTGTGGCTTAATTTAAGGTATTATCCTGGTACTTGCCTGGAGGGACTTTCAGAACTCTGGCGGAGAAAAAATGAAAGGAAGAATATAAGAAGGAAAGAAACAAAGAGAAAGGATAATGAAAGAAAGTAAATTGTAGAAAGAGATACAAGAAACAAGCAATTGACTTTGTGCCGTGCTTTGTCTGCAGGATGCATGTGGCTAAGATTTACGCTTGCTGAACTACTAAATCAGCGACTGAACTGCCCCGTGGTTTGGTGGCACACTGTCTGGTTGACTAATAGACTTGCTGATTTGCTCTTTGACCAGTTGACCGGCCATCTTGCTGACACAGTCACTTCACAGTTAAGCTGACTGATTTTATAATGTCATTCACTGACTGACTACATAAGTCACTCACTAATTTGCTGATTCTGTACCTAATCCCCTCACTGACTGATTGATTGATGTCGTGACTTAGTCTTGCCTTATTGACTCCTTAAATGATTTTTGGGAGTGGCAGAAGAATATGCTTCCAGAATATCTTTGAGAATACTACTTAGAACATAATAAGTGTTCTCTGGAAACATTCACGAAGAAAAATGCATTTATATTGATATTTTTGTGGTTTCTGATATCAAAAATGTTTTAGTTTACCAGCACTCATGCTGCCTTCCATTTCTCCTTCATCCTGATGTTCGCTGCTATGTTGCAAATCTGCAGTGGTCTGTACTGCATTCCCAGGACGGAAATAATCTACTCTCATTCCTTCTATAGGTCCTAAATCATTTCCTGTTGAGTTGAGTACTCTCTTATGAAGTTTAACAAGGCTTGAATGGAATTTTTTCACGTCATCCTGAAAGAAAATCATGCATATTGCTTAATTTTAACACCATTTTCCATTTGCATTCTTTGATGTTTTACATGCCTCTAATGATCATAGTGTTCATTTATTACAGAGACAAACACTGTTACAAATATAAATACACTTCCTGCAGGCTCCTGCAGGCATTAACTATTTTTTTCCTTTTATTTTGTTAAGTAGGCACACTGTTACAAATATAAATACACTATAGGAGTGATCCTGCAGGCATTAACTATTTTTTTCCTTTTATTTTGTTAAGTAGGCACAACACCAAAAAAATGTTTGAAAGAAATGTTGTACATTTAATGAGACTGAGATGTACACATTTCATATCATGCACTTATTTTGTAAGCCATCTTGTGGGAAGTGGATTAAGTATCATTTTGAGATTAACGTAGAAGGAGTATGGACACCGAGACTACCCACAGTGCTGCTGTCAGTACATGTATATCATAAAAAAATGCATAATATGGAAAATAAGCATTGACTCGCAGATTTTCACCATTTCATTAGAAAACTTGATGTTGGAGGCATACAAAATCTTCTTTTTGGTACGGAACTGTGTTTCTAAGTACTTCAACTCCTTCTCATTCATCTCAGGTTCTGCTTCTTCATCTGCTGTATGAGATGGCATTTTTGGTGTAGTGTCCGGCGGAGAAGGTTGTGCATTCTGTCCCCTTTGTGTGGTAGCTTGTGAATCTGGGTTGATAGTAAATTTTATCTTCTTTTCAGTAAGTGTTTTGCTGTTGCCAACTCTGTTCAGGTTACCTCCCACATTTGACTGAAAGAAATAATGCAATTATAAGATATGGGAAAACTAGGTTACCTCAAATCCAAAGGAAGCACTACCTTTTTTCTCATTTCAAATGAGTTCCCTTTAAAACAGCTACTGACCACTTGTAGATAAGAAAGTGTGTACATACCACAAGTGATTTACATGTTTGCGAACAGCAACATAAGTCAGAAATTCATTCTACGTATGCACACTTTGGTTACTGACCAATGCATATTTTTATTTTAGTCTGTTTCTGGTAGTCTTAAAGTATTGTCAGTAGTATGACCAAATACTTTCCCAATTTTCTTACATACGATTTCATGGAACTGGAGTGCATAACACAGCAGTGTGAGCAGAAATTAATGAATACCCCCAACAGACTATTTTATATTTTGCCTTTATTTTTATTATTTGATACTCATTTGAATAGTTTCTGCTTGTCACAGATAATGTTATATCTGTTTTCAATGTATGTCCTCAGAAACAGATGCTTATTCCATCAAAGACAGGTTTTGTTCATTGCAGTTTCTGCTATAGACATATTTATTGGTATTTTGACTGCATGTCGCAGACATCCATGGACTTTGACCTCGACGATGTCCATCATTACCCGCGCGCATATGAATGTTCTTGTTCTGATCGGATCAAACTGCACTTATATTTGTGTCGACAAGGCAGAATTTGATACAGAATTAATCCAACTTTTGAAACTCATCAATTAATTCTCCCCAACACTTTTAATTGTCAATAAATTATATTTCTGGTGATTTTTTGTTCGATCGTATCACTATAACCGGAAATTAGTCACCAGAAGAAAATGGTTAAGCATACACACATTAGCAGCTTCATAGTTTGCTCTTCTGTTAGATGGATCACCCCAAAATGTTTGGTGTAGATAACCATCTTAGTATTACAAGCTGTAGTAAATTGAAAGGGACAAATTTTGGGGTAGTCCACAATTTCATAAAGATCGACCTCGGCGTTGCTGAGTTGAAATATGCATCTGGACAGTCAGACAGACACACATGATATTTCATTTCATGCAAAGAAAGAATAATTCTGATGCAAGAAATAATATTTAAATAGCAATTCAATAAATAATGTGTGAGGATGTGTGTACTAGATTTAGATTTATGTACAAGAAATGTTACCTTAAATACAGGCTGTATCTTTTCTGTGTGTGGTTGGCGGACATTTTTAGTTCTATTCTGAACCCGGGGGTTCTTTTGGTCTTTGGTTGAGAGGATTCCTTGCACTTGTTTTTTCGCAGCTGACCCACGTGTACTTGGAGGAGGCACACGATCTGCTGTACGTGGTGAAGTGAAATCACCTATAATAGTACCATAGAATGCATTACAGATCACATTTTTTTAAAACTTAAAACTGTATTCATATTACACAGAAACTGTATTTTGAAATTAGTAATAGGTGTTTTCTCAAAGTACAACGTTTTACAATCATTCAAAGAATTAGAAAAATTCTTTTTATAAACATGCTCTGATCTCCAATTTTCCAGAAATGAGGCATGAAGCCTGTTTTATAAACGGCTCTAAAGAACAATGCAGTTGTATTTCATTTTCCAAAGCTGGAAATATGAAAGCTCCTGCATCAGGTATAAAGTTTCTTATTGTTATTTTAGATAAAAAAGAAGAGTAGGTAAAGTGAGAGTCAGTATGGTGACTGGCCACGGACTACATAACCGAGGTTTGATCCCCGACGACGACAGAGGATTTTTCCTCTAGCCTCTGGGTCCAGACCGGTTCTGGAGCCGGGGGTAAAGAGCTCCTGGGGCGTGACGGTGACCACTCACCCCCATTTAGTTCCGAGGTAAAAATTGAGAACGAGCTGTACGGCCTCTCCCCCCAAATGACCTATATGGCGTATAGTGGGACAGCTTTAACTAACTAGACGGCTTACGGAACCCAAAGGTTCATCACCGAATTAACCAAAGCCCTCCACCGGACCCTGTCCTGGGCCAACAAAATCCAGTTTCCTTCAACTCCTATCTCCCAGAGATTATCCTCCCATCTACGTCTAGGTCTCCCCAGCTGCCTCTTCCCCTCAGGCTTCCCAACCAGTACCCGGTGCACACCTCTTGTCCCATCCATGCGCGCTACATGCCCCGTCCATCTCATTCTTCTCGACTTAATCACCCTGACAATATTGGGGAAGGATTACAGATTTTTAAGCTCATCATTATGCAGTTTTCTCCAGACCCCATCGTCTTCCCTCTTAGGCCCAAATATCCTCCTCAACACCCTGTTCTCAAACACCTGCAATCTATGTTCCTCCCTCTGAGTGAGAGACCATGTTTCTCACCCATACAAAACAACAGGCAAGATTATTGTTTTGTATACTTTAATTTTCAGGTTCCTAGAAATCAGATGGGAAGACAAAATATTTTGAACTGGGAAGTAGCAAGCATTTCCAGAATTTTGTCTCCTAATTTCCTCGTGAGTGTCATTTTGATTTGTTATTGTTGTTCCCAAATATTTGAACTTTGAAACACTTTCAAAGGATTCATTAGCCACCCTAAGATAATTCTGTCTGCTGACGGGATACTAACATGTACAGTAAAACCTCTCTAACTTGGACACTTGCGGTTCCACGATGATGTGTCCAACTTACAGAGGTGTCCAGGATAGAGGGAAAGGAGAAAATCATCCTTTCAAATTGTGGTGTAATGACAATGTCGTAATTGTAAAGTATTATGGAGCCCTTCCCAAAAATGAAATTATTGATAAGGAAAATCAAAAGAGTAAATTAGATTTTTACAAATTTTGTTTTCACTAAATTAAATACGCTCAAAGAGAAGGGCACCGATACTTTTACGTTTACCGACAATGTAATCTATTTACTTACATAATCTAACTACTGTAATTTCTGTTAACACTAACTCAGTTGCAAGCACAGTACAGTACAACCCCTCTATAACGCGGTTCCGGATATAACGCGGGTACCTCATGTCCTCCCATAGTACAGCAAAAAGGAAAAAAGTGCATCAATTATCCTTCACACAGAACTCAAAATTATATTAAAATGCAAGTCAAATTAATTATTTATTACTTTTTCCGTAAAAATCAATCGTAACTTAGTAAAATAAGTATGTATACTCTTAAATGGCGATAGTCTATCAATACAGTAGGTCCAGTACTAGTACCGATTTTTCTGATGCACTCCCGTAATAACGCGGTTTCTCTATAGCGCGGGTTTACCCGTCCCCAGCGACCTGCGTTGTACTATACTGACAAAGTTAAAATTGTACCAGCAATACGACTGCATTCCAGTGAAGGGTTCAAAGTCTCACACCCTCAACCTTAAGCTAATCCTCAGGTAGAAGGCATTCATCAGTCAGAAATTCAAAACAACAAAATACTAACTGTAAACATTTCCCATAAAAGCATTGAAGCTAAGTGCATGCATGAACCTGTCCAACTTATAACAAAAGGGGTGACCAACTATAGGGGTTTTACTGTACTTAGTTTTCTTCTAGCCCCACCTGTCTACTAGCCTCTAGTAAAACTTCTGCATTCCTCCTTATTGTAGTCATATAGTCCCCCAATAAATTAACATCATCAGCAAATGTCAATAGCTGATGTGTCCCGTTCAATTGCAAACCCTCCTGCCTATCTTGGACTTTCCTGATAGCATATTCTAGCGCAAAGTTAAAGAGCAAGGGAGACAAAGCACCTCCTTGTTTTAGACCGTCCTTGATGAGGAATGTCTCAGATACATATTTATCTGTACGAATTTTGATACAGGTTTCATTTAAGCACATTTTTATTAGACTCACTAGCTTCTTTGGTATACCAAATTCAATAAGAATATTGTATAACACTTCTCTCTTCACAGAGTCATAGGCTTTTTTGAAATATATAAATAATTGCTGCACGGTCCCACTGAACTCCCATTTTTTCTCTATTATCTAGTTCAACTTCATCTAAGCTAGGTTCTGACACTAACAGTTCAGCGGTACGTGTTTTAATCTGTTAACATCATCCGTCCCATGAACATTTAAGGGCTGGTTAAAGAAAATTTTCCACTTATTCAAAATTTTGATTGGATCTGCAAGTAAATTGCCATTATCATCCTTTACCAAATTAGTCTGAGGTTGATATCCTTTCTTAAAATCATTTTTGCCTCTGTACAGATCTCCGATATTTTTGTCCTTACTATTTATCTCAAGCTCAATAACTTTACCTTTCTGAGATTCCCTTTTCTTATTCCTAAAGGTTCTACTAGTTTCGCCTTTCACGTAACATAGATTATCCATATTCGTTTTGCTCGGTCCTTCAATCACTGAAATTTTGTTTACTTCCTTTTGAGCATTCTTTATCAAATTCACAGTTTATATTGCTTTCTCCGGTAGTATCCTAGTTTCTTTTTGGCTGAAATTTTGATACAGTAATACTTCATATTCCTCTTGGTAAAGTAAAATACTTACTGGTTGACCTTGGTACTTTTAATCTTGATTCCATTTTCATTGCGAAACTAACGGTTTACTGCTAGACACAGATTTTCCTGAACAAACTTCTAATTGTTACTATCGTTACTAGCCAAACAGCTGCTCAGCAACCTCTTGTTCATAAACAATGATCGCAACAATACAAACCACAATCAATGGTTTTGTTGATGACGTCACATTCGCGTGCTCAATTGTGTGGTGTTTGAGAGAGTGTTAGGTTGGCAGCGAACTTTTAATCCCAAATGGTAAGGTAAGCCTGGCTTGGCCGAGTCTCTGACCAATAATCCATATCCGGTGAGTGGTTTATGTACTACCCTTACCTGCTAGCGTTTAAATTACAGTACAGTTTTACTTTTAGGTTATGTAAGCCATGTAGTTATAAACTTGTCATATGTTGCTTTATTTTTGCAGTTTGTAAGTGAGTGCATAACTTGTGATCAGGCCTGCTGATGAGAAATATTTATTTGCCTGCTGTGTTTTGTAAAAATAAAGAGGGATGCTCGTGATGTTTTGTATAAGGGAAGAATCAGAGAGGAAATTAAATTCTCGTTGTGGCTTGTATTTTGAAACTCATATCATATGAAATGCAAGAAATATATATTTTAGTTTGCATTGCTGATGTACATTTCTCAAATATACAGGTAGCCCTCGATTTACGCCGGGGATGTGTTCCTGGACGAACCGACGTAATAGGAATCGGCGTAAATTGAAACTCTTTTATAAAGTAAATCAATGGGGAGTCAATGACATGCGTTCCCAGCACCCAAACATTGACGAGTAATACAATGGCATTACATTTAAAACTCTGAAATAACGTAAATAAAATAAAGGGAATTTAAAAAATATATTTTATACACTTACAATCGGCAATGCGTTGGTCCCCGCGATTGACTGCGATTATTTCATGTGACTGGTGTGTACAGTCATCACCGCTGTTATGCGATAGTTACGTTCGTGTAAGACGCCGACCTATAGAAAATCGCGTAGTAAAAATAACCCCGGGACCTCCGCAGAGATTAAATTAGTCCTTTGAAAGTTTAAAGCGCCAGGAATGAAATTGCATAAGAGCAAACTCGCATATGCAAAAGTTTGCGTTTCACAAACAGAGTTTACCGATTTATCGATCTCATTGGAGCAAATTCGCGTTAACGAAACATACGTAATTGCAGAGATGACTGTATTTATAATTTTTATTCAAAATCAGGGATGTAAAAATTACGATTTAATATAAGAATCAGTACGAGAAACATTGTAAAACCTTATAAATAATAGTAATTATTTTTCGCCTTTAGACTGTCTGGTTTCAAAATCGGCGCAAATTGGACCGGCGAAGATCGAGGGCTACCTGTATATGTGTCAAGACTAATTATGAAGTAAATACAAATATCTGTGATTAAATTTTTTTTTTTTACAATTTTCAAATCTCAACCTACCTCAGTCCTTATAGATAGGAGATTGCTTTATGGTTCAGTACATTTAAGTAAGGAGATTATGGATGAAATGCTTATTATAATTGTCATTTTATAAGGAACTGTCATGTTGCCAGGTTACCATAAACTGATTGATGAAAGTTTTGTGTAAATTATTATACCCATTTGTAACCGAAATATTCATCAAGTTTCTCTGAGACATAGATTACTTACGATATCATGCTTTCAAAATTATTCATGGTAACTGTAGTGGTGGTGGATAGAGGACGAATTTTTAAAGTAGAAGGGTAGTTGACCTTCTTACCGATTGGGCTATTGTCACGTCGCCCTTGTTTTACTTGTAAATCGCTCACAGGGCGCAGCACAGTATGCACATATTGGTCAATCTTGTGATTGGCTGGAATTTGGAGAAGCTGACATAAACTGAGCCATGAAGCATTAAGTTTGTCAGTGTTTTAAGTGCAGCAGGTGGGAAAGGAGCTGTATAACCAGGATAACGGATGACTTGGTTTTTTCGATTCATGTAGGTTAGTTTCCAGTACCGTTTGCCTTTGGTATTATGACTACAGCAGCTAGACCAACCTTCGAGCCAGCCCGTGGTGGACAGGGTCGTGGAGAAAAGGATCTGTCTGCAATATCAAAGCAGTACTCAAGTAGGGATTTACCTTCACACAACAAACTTAAATACAGGTATGGAATAATATTGATAAATACATTTTAAGGTAGTGAATTTTCTTCGCTTGTACACAAGACACATTTGTCCTGACATTTACGAGATTATGTTTGTAAATACCTTTCTTAAAGGGTTCCCATTTATAGGATACTTAGTTCTAGTGAAAGCTATTGTATGTATGTATGTTGATACTAGGTTATCTGTGCTTTACACCATAACATGTTTCAGGGAACATGGACAGGGTACCACTGAAGAACTTCGCTCCAGAGATTTCCGTAAGGACTTGGAAGATAGAGAAAAGGAGAAGACTGGAGCCCGTGATAGGCGCATGCCAGAGGCGGTGTCACAGTTAGTTTGGACAGACTTTGTACTCTTAAATAACAAATTACATTTTGGAATGATAAACAGTTGTCGACTGTAACAGGAGCCATTCTCACAGAAATGTCACATATCTAACAAACTGCAGCCAGATTTAGGTTACAAAACTTAATTTGCACATTTTTAATTTCAAGATTTTCTTTTTCAGTTCTGTGTCAGCTGTTGATGTTAGGTTACAGCTAATAAGAACTCTGTGAATAAACATAGATTCTGAATAGGTGAGGCACCAAGGCGTTTAATGTTATAAATTATATAGAGCCAACATTTACATGGTAGTTGTTTATCTGCAGTAGCAAGCGCCCGAAGCTGGACCAGGTTCCAGCTGCCAGTCTAGATGCTGATGATCCACTTGATGAAGAGAATTCTGATGATCCTGACAGTGATGATGATACAGCACAGTTGCTGGCAGAGCTGCAACGTATAAAGAAGGAACGTGCCCTGGATCAAGCCAAGCAAGTAAGTAGAGATGTTAACTCTGTCATCTACATGAACTTGGGGATTACTTGTATATATTGCACCAGCTTATCAGATAAAAACATTTTAAAATATAGATATAAGTCTCTTGTTAACTGACTATATGGAACAGAGTCCTTCTGCTGAAGATATCAGTTGATTATCTAGTCCAATGCAAACCAGTGTTCAGTGGTATGCAAACTAAGAAAGAAAATCAAAAAGTAATATTAACATAAAAGAATTTCCCTGAAAACATTTGGTTATTGGTACATTTAATGTGTTAAATTAGAATGTGGTAAGCCAGTGAAAAAGGTTGAGAACCCCTGATCTAGTCAACAGATTCCCTACATTATATGGAATCCAGAGGTTCATCATTACCATGCCCACAAGAGCCCACCATCAGTCCTTATTCTGAGCAAGGTGAATCAAATCCAGACTCCCCAAACTTGATTTCCCCAAAATCCATTTTTATGCCTCCCATCTATACCTAGGTATTTGAACTGGCTCCTACAAGCTTTCCAAAAAAAAAGTGTTCTACTCATTCCTCTTCTTTTCTATATGTGCCCTGTCAATCTCCTCCTTGATTTGGTTACCCTTATGATATTTGGTGAAGAGTTGCATTGCTTCTCATGCAGTTTTCTCCAAATATTTTCCTAAAGCACCATCCTCAATTAGTGTTTTTCCATAAACTTTTCACACCCATACAAAGTGATGGGTACATTATATTTGTGTGTAGTTTAATCCGATTTTATTTAGCAGACATGAAGACAAAAAGATCCTGAACTTTATGGTAGCAACCATTGCCCAGATTTAGTCTGCTCTTAATCTTATTTTGAATGCAATTCTGATTGTTAAAATGATCCCCAAATACCTGGACCTTGCCACATTTTCTTACAAAGCTAATTACACTGCACGAAGTCAAATTATCTTTCCTTGCACTTCATTATATATACTACCAAAGATTTTTTTGAATAAATGCTGTAAATCTTAAAGGTAAGTATATGTTATATTCTTTTCTATGATGCAGCAGCTTGAACCGAGCATTGGCCTCCTCCCATGTGAGAGGTTTCTTTGTCTTTGAGACGTGCCTTTATGAGTAGTGAGTGATAAGCCCACTGCCTCTGCACAGTTTCTACTCAATCCTGATTTGTCTGCTATAGCCATCTAGTAGTGAATCAGGAGAGACTTGGGTGAGAAATGGCCGCTGAATTTTTGCTTACGAAACATCTAGCTCATGCTTGTAAGGTTCTCTTATATGCTGTAAATCCACAACATGGAACTGCCGGCTTTATTCCCCTTCAAAGGATGTTGTGCTACGGATTTTTATCACCCTTAAAAATCCATCGACCTTGGCCGGGTTTTGAATCCGTAAACCTTGGGTCCAGTGGTGAGCACACTAACCATTAGTCCACTGATATCGACAACTATACTTTTCTGCAAGTGACCAATTGGAATCATTGTCTCATTCTGTATAACTTTGGCTTTTGGGTGAGGGCTGCATCAAATATTTGGTATTAACCAATGTTTTGGCTCCCGGTGGACTAGCGACTGGTGGATTTAGTGGGCTGGTCACTCACTACTCACAAGTGCACACTCCAAAGACTAGGAAACCTCAGAAAAGGAGATGGCGAAGACCCACAACTGGGTTGTAGAGCCAAGAAACAACAACAACAACAACCAATGTTTTGACAAACATTGCAGTTGCCATATTTAAGGTGGATGAGGTGAGGTAATTTCAGAAGGCTTTATATAGGGCAGGCAGTGAGTGCAAGATAAATTTGATGGTGCTGATTGGTGAAGTGGAGTGGGCTACTATCCAATTAGACATCTCATAAACTCTCAAATATGCCCGTAGGCACGAAAAGGTTGGGGATCACTGATGTAGAATGCTGATCCTTGCTTTTCCAGTCTGGTGTCTCTTATGTGTTCTTTAATTCTGGTGGAGATGTGCTGGTCTGTTTATCATGTACATCTTGCCACAGGAACAGAGGATCTTGTAAATACCTGATTTTTGAGTCGGAATTGTCTGTCTATGGCAGAATTTAATTTGGAAGCCGGTTTTTGAATTCTTGTCTGTGTTGTGTGGACGTCATGATTTTGCAGTAGTCTGGACATGCAATCAGGGGTCCCTTGGACGTATGGTATGTGTGCACAGTGGTTGCTCTTTTTTGTGGTGCGTCTCCTGACTGGTCTGGCTTTTGACATTTTGTTTAAATCCTGCAGGCAGTAGCCGTTCACTCAGATAACAGACCTGACATGTAGTTCCAAGGCCCAGCTGACGTTGTTTCATATGGTGTTTGTTCTGTCCATCAGGGTGATGATAATGGATCTCTTATGAGCTTTTGGGTGGTATGATGATGCCTGCAGGTATCTGTCGATATGGTTGGCTTTCCTATAGACCGCATACCCCAGTGAGTTTTCCAGGTATCGGCTGACCATGATATCTGGAAAGGGTAGGGCCTTCTAAACTATCCCCACCTCATACCCACCTTGAGAATGGCAACTGCAGTGTTTTCTCTTCATCAATTTGTTTGTATAGTTATGTGAAGGAAGACTTGGTTTCAGTGAAGCACTGTCTTGTTATGAACCAATAGGTTAAAAATGTAGTATACCTGTTTTTTACGTCACTGCTTTGCAAAATGGAATTTATAAAACTGTTACTGGAAACTTAATTGTGAAGAGATGTTGTAGTATAATTTGTTAAAACATTTGTGTTTTCTTTGGAAAAATATCTAGTATGCAATATGTAACTATGGGATCTGCCTGAAATGGTGTATGCTTAAGGGGTAAAATATCCATTAATATGACTTTTCCCCCACAGGAAACTGAGAAGAGACAAGAAGAAGAGAGAATTCGAATGGAGAATATCCTGAGCGGTAATCCGTTGCTGAACTATACATCTCAAGTTCAGAAAGGGGACTTGAAGGTGAGTCATTGAGACATTGCTGCATTCACGATTAGCACCTGGAATCCGTTGCTATACAATATGTTTTGTGCACAGGTGAAACGACGGTGGGATGATGATGTTGTCTTCAAGAACTGTGCACGGTCTGAGCCAGACAAGAAGAAGGACCAACAGTTCATCAATGATTCATTGCGCTCCGAGTTCCACCGCAAGTTCATGGAGAAATACGTTAAGTGAACGCACGTGCTCCAAATCATCCAGGCAGATCCACAGTTTAAGTTGTTCTGGAGGAACAATTGGAACAGTGCTGAAAAATACAATGTGTGGCATGCTTAATGAACATTTGACTGGTATGTATAATTGTGTATCTTACTTTATGATTCACACAAACTTGGATACAGAAGCTGCATTTTCTTGCATTCAGATTAATTACAATAAAGTTTTATATTTTATTGAAATGTAGCAGATGTGAGAATAACCAGCTTTATACTGTCAGTTATCCTCATGTCAGTTTAGTTCACTGTATATGAAATTATGTATGGTAAGTAATCAACTTAACACTGCCAGATAATCTTCAGCCAGTTTGTTCAAATTCACACTCCAGACAAATTTGAAAATTTCAACCATGGCAGCAATGTGAAACTTTTAATTTATGTCTCATTGCTTTCTTTTATGGTGCATTCAGCATAAGAATAGAGCGCACCTTAATATAAGTTACGTGCAGTGACGCTGCCCATATGTGGCCTAGAAAACAATGCAGAAAATACAAAATACATAATTATGTCTCATCGTCAGAATTCAGGACAGAACCGGAATATAAGGATAAGTAACAAACTGTTCAAAAATGTAACAATATTCAAGTACTCGGAGACAACTAGGGAGATGGGAATCAATGGAGTGAACTGGATGCAGCCAGCTCAGAATAGTGTCTGATGGCAGGCTTCTGGTTCCGTAAAGAAAGTGGGCTATTCTTTGATAAGCCGGGTGTACAGTCGAACTTTTAAAGAATTTCCTGCACCATGGAATGAGTGAGAGTGGATGCCACACTTTTTATTTTCTTACACTGGGCTGTGCTGTTATTATTTTCATCTATGAAAACAGTTCATAGGATATAAGTTATAAATTTGCTGATTAGATATAGTTCTTGTTTATCTGTTTTATTGTATTCTTATACAAAGTATGTTTTTATAAAATGCAGGCTTCGTGAATACCAATTCCCAGAAGCAAAGAGAAACAAGATGCTGTGTACATGTTTATGTATTAAAAGTAAATATTCCAAGAAAATGTATATTGGATTGAAAGTGATACTGCTACTTAAGTTATAGGCGTTTTGAGAAGTTTCATTTATATGGGAGAGAAATACAATGAAATGTGGATTCTGGTCTTCTGGGTTGTAATGCCATTTAGTCTCATAGTTAATTACAGTGTTTCAGAAGAGCATTTCACTTGCATCTTTGGGTATAAATGAGTCAGAATCGGGATTTGAATAATTTAGTTATAGGACATGGAATCTCATGTTTCCCTTCTTCCTTTTTTGCTATTTACCTTTACTTAGTCTCCCTTGGTCATTTCTTCCTTTTAGGGCCTCCTTAGAAAATGTTATTGTCAGGGCCTTTCACCTTTCTTTCCTTCATCATCCACTTTGCCCATCCCTTATCTTTACTCATCTCCTTTCTCTGCCCATTCCCATTTGCCTATGTAGATGACTCATACTCCCCTCTTGACTCTCTTCTACCTCAAAGATGGAGGTAATAAATTCCACCCAAGTGTTAGTAAGAAGAGGACAATCCAGAAGACCAGTCATTGTATTCACTGTCATGACAACTTCAGAATTTTGCAATAAACTGTGCAGGTGAGTTGTATATACTTTTGCTTCTTCACATACCAGCAAGTCCACAACCTTCAGTAGGTAACAAGAGCAGTGGTTCTTAGTCTCTTTGCCACTGTTACCCCTTAAGCTTAGAAAGTAGATAATAACCCCTCCTTCTTTTTTAAACAATGGGTCTATAAAGTGCAGGGGTTAATATCCATGCACTAGACAGAAAATTTCAGGTAATCATGATAACTGTATTTTATTTTAACACATTATATTCAAAAACTGAATATATATTGTATTTTAAATCTATTATAAGTTACGTTCATTATTCAGATGGAAACTCATTACAAATAGCATTTCTCAGTGTGAAGGTTGATAATGCTTCTGCTTGACAATGTTAGAAATATGAGGTTTTGTCACACCTAATGCACACATCAAATCATGGTTAAGTTCGGACTACCCCTTATCACAGCAGAATCTTGAAAATTTTGTTTCATGCATATGATCATCTTACAGATCAATGAATTCTGCTTTTGTCTTGACATCTGCATCTTCAATTAATTTTTGTTCCCACTGTAGATGGTCTTAAAATCCATCCGTCATGCTGTTCTATATATAGGAAGTATCTGTTGATGGTTTCTGTCCTCCATATTTGGGAGTTTTAGGTTTGATTGTTGATTTGGAGACTATTTATTATAGAATTCCTTTGCCCAATTTACTCTTCAAATTTTAACACCATTTTCAGCCATTTCCATATACTTCAAATCTTAACCACATTTAAGTTAGCCTTTCAAGAGAATCCTTATCATGATTGTGACTGTTGATGCTGAGAGCTTCTGCTGAAAATTATAGTTGCATACGGCCTGCAATTAGGATGATAACCCCCACCATATTGTTTCACTTAGCTTATAGGTAGTTTACCATTTGGTGAGTTTCTGCAGAATCCTGGTGTTTTTTGTGGGAAATCATACATTACATGCAGACACATTAAGAAGCATGAGAATTGCACCACAAATCTACACATAATGACTGATTGTCATGCTTGTGTGTATTACCATCAGTTTTTATAATTATATACTGTTAAGTAATTTATGACAATGAGTGTATGTATCTGTTGCAATGGCAATCCTTTTAAGGGATTGCTGACCTTGTAATTTGCATTACTGAAAGTTTATTAGTTCCTTTATAGTCTTAACTGGAAACCAAGACATAAAGGTGGCTTGCAGTTTATTTTTAAATGAATGCACAGTTACTTGCAGATCCCATTGTTTTTTTGACGTAAATACGTCTATATGGAAGGGTCATTCTGCAAAAAGTGACAGAAAAATGTGTAAGATCCGTATCAACAAATCGACGACAATGTGTAAATATGGACCGACAACAATGGTCAGCTTGCGTGCATTGTTATGTTACCTAGGAAATGTCATGTTTACTCGGCATTGTTGTTACATTACTGCCATCAACAATCCGCTTTCGTAACAAGATGGATGACATTGAAGATAACATTACATTACTGAGACGTAAATACAATTTAAATACAGAGACATATTTACGTCAAATTCTCGGGAACCGTGGTTCCACTGTAATTTTTTGCTTAAGAACATACATTTGCATTCTCAAGAATAATTCATTTTCATCTCATATTTAGAAGCATCTTTAGGATTATTGAAAATATGAACTATCATTTAAGCATATTCTTAGAAATGAAACTGACACTATATTTATCACTGTTTGCCACTGTAAAAAAATTTGTGAATTTCAACAAATTTAGGTTGAAACTAACCTGAAGAGGAAATTGACCCAACTGATATTTATATATGCTAATGTTATTTAAAAATATGTCTATACTATTCCCATTCAGCACATTTAAAAGCATGATTATATAATTTCAGGACAGCTACATGATAAGCATCACCTATTCTGTATAAAGACTCAGATGTGGGTTGCAGCAAATGGTGAAAGTTAAGTGCCACTGGCATCACCACTAATAGTGCTATTGTGGAACTCTCCAAGGTGTCATCACTGTAGTGTCTTGGCATGTTCACAAAGTATCACTGTTGTGTAACAGTACTCAAATGTGACAAAACCTGATCCTGGCACGATGTTTCATGTATTCAGGTTCTTCAAAAAAAGTGCTAGATGCCTGTCGAATGTAGCAACTAACCTACTGTCACACATTTCCATGTACTACCAAATAACCATTCTTTTATGGCTATGTATGTGCAAAGCATACATTACCACAATGTACTTACTTCATTTGTACAACATATCTCTGAAGGGCATATGGTTCTATTATATCTTAACTCTCTTTTCAAGCTGATATTGCAGCAATCAATCGGGCAAAGAATACATCATAATCCATTCAACATATCTATCACAATGAATCCCCAAATACAATCCATCATATAATACTAAAAACTGGTCCAATTACTGTAGGAATAATAAGTTAACTGCATACACAAAATCCACTGTCGTTTATTCAAACAAAAGCAATACAGCAACCCCAGATTTAACAATGACTCGGTGCAGCTTTAAACTCCTGATCATGAAGTTCATTGTTCCAGGCATTCAGTGGCTCTGAAATAATAAAGCAAAGTTAGCAATATCTGTTTACTTTGTGGGCCCAGCTTAAACATAATAATTGCTTCAGTTACTGTTGTCTGGACGTACTTTGGTGAACCGCTGCTTATTTTGACCTTGCCCTCATCTTCCTCCTCTTACGCTTCAGCCTTCGCATTCGCTTCTTCCTCCACTGAAACACAAAACGAAGTTCAATACTAAGCAGTGTCCAAACATGCCATGTCGTGGTCAAAGTTTTGGGCTTTGTACAATAATGTAATAACTTTCATGCAATCAAATAAACAATGATCAGTTATTACCGTTCATGTATAAGTGCAGTGTAAACATGTATTTCGGCCTATAGGAACGCGTTTTCTGATATCTCAAAAAAAAATGCACACACGTTGTAAAGTATGTTTACAAATCTTCTATCACGATAATTACACTTAACGAAAGGGCCTATATTCGCACGTAATTGTACCTACTACACATATTTCACAATATTACACTTCAGACCTAATCCACAACACAACATGCAACGTGATATGCACTCACATGTTTGGAATATACACTTACAAATGGAATATTGTAAATTTAGTATAAAAATACCTTTGCTCTCATTCTTCTATTACTGGTACACTATATCTTCCCGTTCAATTCAATATCAAACTCAGCCGATGCATTGGATTTATATCTAAACAGATACTACGTCCACAGCTTAATACAACATGAAGTACAGAAGGAAGTCTCAGCTGCACAAATGACTACGTTCTGAAAACCACGTTCAAGGCAACGCTCACAGATATCAAAAGTCTAGTTACGGCTCCTTACAGAGAGTCGTAGGCAAAGATTACAGAAGGGAACATTATTATGTGAGAGCCTTCTCTGCAACATTCCCCTGAAGACTATACGGTATATCAGACTTAATAGAAACGTATTGATAAATAACACTATATAGCTTTCGTTACTGTAGTATAGGAGTAATAGTGAACAGGTTATTGTAATCAATCTGGCTGGAGGAGGCCATGGGTATTTTCTTGGTCTTGTGAAATTGTCTTGTGAAGCTTCAGTTTGTCTGTTCTGGTAGCTTTGCACTCCGCTACAAACCACGTTTCTATCATCAAAGTCTCTGCCTACTGTTTGCGACAGTCATCTTAAGACTTGCAAGGAATGCAGGATGTCAGAAGCAAAAAGGCTACTCCATAGCAGACGCTAGCTTTTCTGCTTCCTTCTCCACCCAACTTAACAATTGCATTTTGCAAGATTACAGTAGCAAACAGTACGTGCACCGCCTTCCGAATTAGTGTGCAGAATTTTTTCTTCCAAATTGTCCAGGTTGGTAGGTTATCTATACGTTCAGGTGTCCTTGTAGGCTGTTAATTGAAAGTTCTAATTGCAATGGTTACTTAGTTACTGTGCTCTTAAATTCTTTGCTCGTTGCTGCAAACGTTTTAAAAGGAACATACTTGTTGGAAAGATGGCGCTGAGTGTGTATTGTATGTTGGCAGTGTAATGTTTAATATGTTGCAACACAGTATGTGTACAGGTTGTATTCAAATAAATTGTAGACACATATATTTTCTTCAACGTTTAGTGAGGCATGAACGCGTCTGCAAGAAAAGAAAAAGATAAATTAGGCTCCCTTGAGATCTTACCGACAGAAGTTCTACTTGTGATATTTAAATACTGTACCTTGAGAGCCCTAGGAAACGTTTGTCAAACGTGCAAGCGACTGAACGGTGTGGTAAGCGACTTCATCTGGTATGAAAAGAGCCGGAAGGCGCTAGTGACCAATCAAATCAGTGCTGATATTCAGGCCAGGTACTGTGGATGAATAATTTTGTGGTTTGAGATGAAGTGTTTTCACCACCTCCAATATTTCCAACTGTTGAATAAGGGAATGGCCTGACCAAACTTAAATTATCATTCCAGTTTCTACAGACACTAACAGCATTTACAGAAAATAACTACCTTTGCTAATTGGTATAATAAAGAATTCATTTAGGATTTTTGTCCCTTGAATTCTCTTGTTGGTTATGACAGAGTCTCTACCTGCCAATTTTTTGTACCTAATCTAAAATCAGTGCATAAAGCTAGTATGTGTATTCAAGTTCATTTCTTGTAAATAGGTTAAAGACAAATGTAGGCGAAGGGAATATTTTGTGTTTTGCACTTGAATCCTGTTTGAACCAGTACCCCTTATCATAAAAGGAGAGAGATGACCATTCATTGTTTTTTTATCAGCTTCAGTATTAAGATCAGATCAGCTTGCTGTGTAACTTGAATGCAACTAATGTTGATGATTATTGTTTATTTGTGCAGGTCTTCACACATCCTGTCTGCCACCAACAAGTGTCGCATAGCCTGCAACTGGATCAGGTGCCGGTACAAAGAGAAGATTTACTATCCATTCAAGACCAAGTAAGGAAGGCAAGGGGACCTTTACAAAACAGTGACCAGTTACTTGCACAATGCTTTCTGGTCTGTGATGGTACCTAGTGATATTCTTATTAGCTGAGATTTAAAACAATAATGAAATTAATTACCACTGTGCAATGTGACATTTTCAGGCATTTACCATGGCTTGTGTTGGAGAGGGACTTGTTGTGGCTCAGCAGGGGGAAGTGCATCCAAGCATTTCGGAGGAAGCGGAGTGGACTGGTGCATGTGCCATGCATTTCCCTTATGGGGCACAGCGATGACGTTTGTCGATTTGTGAGTGCTGGCGGCTTGATAGTGAGTGGAGGAAGGTAAGGATAAATTTAGGGTTTGTTAAATATACTGTATCTTTATAGTTTAGATGCGTCATGTTTGTGTTAAAATTCAGTATATATTTATTTATTATTTCAGTCTATACACAAACTTAGTTTTTTAAAATGTTGTTGTTAAAATTAAAATTTAGCGCTTTTCATCGTTATTTCGATGTTACAATTTCAGCGCTTATTATTTTACGACATGTTTCGATGCTATTGCATCATCTTCAGGTCTTTTGTTGTTATTTTCATCTTTAAAACTAATATATATCTATTAATGCAAGTTTTTATTGATTTATTTGTTTTGTAGATTTCATATTAATATTAATAATTCAAATGTTAATTAATTGTTTCACAGAATAATGAACAACTGACCTAAATATGCAAAATACTATGAAGATCAAATGGAACACCTACAAAAGAAATCTACAAAACAAATAAATCAATAAAAGCTTGGATAAATAGATATATATTAGTTTTAAAGATGAAAATAACAACAAAAGACCTGAAGATGATGCAATAGCATCGAAACATGTCGTAAAATAATAAGCGCTGAAATTGTAACATCGAAATAACGATGAAAAGCGCTAAATTTTAATTTTAACAACAACATTTTAAAAAACTAAGTTTGTGTATAGACTGAAATAATAAATAAATATATACTGTATCTTGTTATATACAAGATAAGTCAAAAGTAGCTTCATGCTTTGAGAGCTTGTAAGAGTTTACTGTTATGGTATAGAACAAAGTTAGTGGCCTTGTGACAGCAGTTTAAACCTCAGATTTTAACAGATGAACTTTTATTAGATTATTTCTACATGGTTACCTACAGTCATCTGACAGGCATCCTAGTAATTCTCTCTTGCTATATTCTCTGTAGGATGTCTGGTGTGATTGTCATAATTGCTGTGGTTATCCTGTCCTTCAATTCTTGAGGACGTGTTGTGTTAAACATGATCTATAATGAATCAACAGAGGAAACTGTCCAGCAGCATAATGTCTGATGAATAAGGAGGCCATGAAATTGGAGCATCTTGCATTCAAGCGGACCTTCATCTTCATCAGACCTAGTCCACATGTCCCCACAGGATGCCCTAATTTTGATGGCTTGACTTATCAGCTATTTGTAGGGCTTTAGATGCAACCTGTTTTGCAACACACTCCATAATGTCGTCTGCGGTATACATATTTCTTGACTGGTATTTTACATCGATTTCCTTGGGCTTTGAACCGAAGAACTTCTCAATTTTATTGTGGTTTCATTTCTCACAGTTGACCTACCCATTTTCTTACTATGCCTCATAGAACACTCAGCCTGAAGAAAGCTGTTATGCAATATTTATACAGAATGCCAGCTAGGAGGATTTCCACAGCAAATATTTATTTTTGCTTTCACTGCATAAGTACCAGAGGTGACAGTTGGGCACTAGATGTGAAGGAAGCTTTAGGTTTAGCTATTGCCTGTCCATTTTGACTATAATTAGCACAGTTATGAATTCTAAAATTGTGACACTACTTTTGACTTATAAATAACCTGTGGAAGGTCTAGATCTATTTGCTGCCCTTAGAATTAACTTTTCTTTCAACATAACTTTTGCTGGTGGTGGTTGCATTTCTCCTTTTAGCTGTTGGTGTTGAATTTTTATAGCAGAATTTAGTGATACTGGTAGTCTTATGAATTTTGCTGTATCACCGATCACATACTGTTCTTGTTGTACTTGTATTTGTTGGTTGTAGTGTTGTATTATTGTCTTGATGCATTCGTGTATTTTAGTGTTAGATAATTAGGAACTAGTGAACCTGAGTTGTGTGAGAATACAAAATGTGTGTGTGTGCGCACTGAATTTGCAAAGGACAGTGATATCTCTTGTCTTCTTCTTTTATGGGTCTGGTCCGTGTTCGGTCCACGGCCTCCTAAATTCTCCTCTTCCATTCGGTCCTCTGTTAGGTCCGTCTGTCCGAGGCTTTGATCGAGGTTTCGAAGCATCATCCTTTTTACGTTGCAAGGTTGTTAGCCTTGCGACCAACCCCCAACCTGGAGGACCAGGGTATCTGTCTTAGTCTAACCTCTCCCCCTCGACCAATCTGGCTAGGGAGGCCCTACCAGTAGCTATGCTACCGCCAGCATAGCTCTTGGGGTCACTGAGGTACTCAAGCCCCACCACCACGACAAGGTGCAGGTACCATTAAGTGGGGATGTCTCTTGTCTGTCTTTGGTTTTTCCTGCTATTCTCATGCTATGTATCCATGTTGTCATTACACCAGGGTAAATTTTCTGCTGTTTCATGTTATGATTTCCATGATTGTAGGGATGGATCAGTGTGTGGATGGTCTAGTAATTCAGGACAGCTCCAGTTCTGCCAGCGTCATAGCCATAGAGGTGATGTTGTTGCTGTGGATATGTTTGGCAACATAGTGGTGTCAGGCTCGCATGATAAGACTGTTAAGTTGTGGCGAGTGTCAGAGCAAGGTCTTATCATGCTAAAGTTGAACATCGATGTGGGAGACAGGATATGGGCTGTTTCTGTTCAACCACAAGGCAATATATGCTGTGTTGGTTCTGCTGGCTACTGGCAGGTGCCACCACTTCATGTGTTTGATATGGAACGGTGAGCAGCCTGATGGCACTGGGCTTGATTTTGCTTGTTCTGGTTGTTACATACTCCATGTAGATTTGTAATGGTCAGTCCCCCAGTAGGCTGATGGAAAACTATACTGCATTTGTAGGATTTGAGATTTTCATGGCCGTGAGTCTGATAACGGCCGTCTTCTGGGTTGTTGCGCAGTGCAGTCTTGGTAGAAGTTTACTGACGCTTCAGAGGTCTTTGCTGCCTCCATCATCAGGGCAATGACAGTAATACATGGTGCAGCAACCCAGAAGACAGCCATCTTTATACTGTGCACCCACACATGGAACAGTACACGGTTATTTTCTGTAAGCATGTGGGACGTAAGTCTCAAGTTACCGTATAGACTGTAGAAAACTGCAGCAGCGCTGTCAGGCATGCCTTTCATTGCCTACACAAGTTCTGCAACACTTTCTGAAATTCAGTTTTGGTAATTGAAGAAATTACATATTATTAATGTCTGGAGAGCTTTACAGGTGTAGTGGTTATTCTTATTAAATTTTTTCTTCATATTTCCCAAGAGATAAAAGGCACAAGTAGACTGGGGGATCTAGGAGGCCATGGTCCTTTGTTGAGTATTCTATAATTGAATCGTTCATGTGTGGCATGCATGCAATAGTGAGCAATATATTCTGGAAATACCTATATTTTCTTTCTTCAGCTGTCACTTGATGAGAGAAGGGATTTGGCATATTGTTCACATACCGATGCAAATTAACTGAAACTGCAGCTAGAAAGTTGTAAATGTTTCAAGAGAATGCTGCTACTCACTTTCTTTAGTTACATTACATTTTGTTGGTGCATTGCAACTAAGCTCATCAGCCGTACTTTAGTAATTGAACTTGGCTTGTATGCAGGGGATGCAAAGTGATGGAGTTGGAACACAACCCACAGCCTGGAGCAGGGATTCTGGATATTAAGTGGGAGTCACCCCATGAATTCCTGTCTGGGGGGTATGATGCGAGCCTGCGAATCTACGATGTTCGGTGAGTACTTGAGATCTTATCTAGTAGTTTTTAAAGCAGTATGAGATCTGTCGGCTTCTCAAGAAGGATTTATCTCCATGGAATTAGGCTTAGCCCTGTCTTGTTTGTTCTGATGTAATAACTTTGCTCTGTATTAATGTTTTTCTTATGAAATTTTGTATTCAACGTTTCTTATTACATTTGAAGAAATTCCATCTGTTTAGATGTATACTCAGACTTGATTCTTTTCCATGGAATATTATCTTGTATAAAACATCTGGCACCAGAAATATCTACAGGCTAATTACAAGGAGCTGGGTTTGCCCGGTCAGTATAGTGTCTGACTGGACTGGAAAACCAGGGTTTGATCCCTAACAGGGGAAAATTAGTTTTCTTCCAGCCTCTGAATCCATACTGACTCTGGGGGTCCATCATTATTTCTGTCCAGTTCATACCAGGGGTTCTTCCCCAGGGGTAAAGCATGACTTGGTGTGACACTAGCCACTCATCCCCACCTAGTGCCAAGGTTAAGAATTGAGTAGGAGCAATATCTCCTCTCCCCCCAAGTACCTACATGACATATAGTGGGACAGCTTTTACCAGTTACTTCTGTTTCTATTAACTTCAAGTATTCATAACATTATCATCATGAGTATGGCATATGTTGATATAACATTTTCTACTCAAAATCATCTGGTTAATCTTTTGAAGTTCAGCCACTTTCTCTCCCATGACACCTGTGTATATGTGAAAGTCCCATTTAGACCCTTATATGAATGAAATTTGCATATGGTAATGTCTGCATAAAGTAAGTGGTATGTATAACATGTTATAAGAATTTGTCAGAAGATTGAAACTGCACAGAAAAGGTTTATTTAGTTCCTTAAGTAATGTGACCCTTAAAACAATCCAGACTAAACCAAAATGAAACTGGCCTGCAAAAATTGAACATGGGTCTATCATACTGAGCTTAATGGCGACTATTCAATCGGGACCAGCCGACTGTTCCAAGAGAGAATCAATACTGACTGCCTTCTGATTGGTCCTTGATGTCATTCGAAAGTATTGATTTCTTTCCATTGAGGTCATCACATCTTTGGTTCCTTATTTTTCCGGTAGACTGCGTCTTTGTGTTTGTACGTCGTGTCCTCGAGTAAATGTACTGCAATATTTTAGATATATTTTGTTGATATTTGACATAGGACACCAATATGTTACCACAAGTTTGACGTGCGCCCCGAATTCCGCGCCCACCAAGCATTGCAAATAATGTACCAGAGATTTATATTGTTTTTTTACAATAATTTTATTCACCGTCTTTACACAAGCTTATAGATTGTTAAAATCACATAAAATTATAACATTTCAACATATGATATTGTTACATTTTAAAATGACGACATGTTTCGATGTTCATTCCATCATCGTCAGGTCTATCAATTAAAATTAAAAACTGTTGCACTTGCTGCCCTGCGTATACTGATTTGTTCTACCCG